GTATGCCTTTATGTATGTGTATGTGTACATATATATATATATATGGTACCCGCCCCCCCCCCCTCAGGTATCTACCTTGTTCGTGGGGTTTTAGAGCCCACTAGGGAGGGCCGTCCTTACTTCAGGGTTTGGGAGCAGTATTGCTATTGTCGCTCCTTGCTAGTGTCGTTACTGTTGTTTTGTATTGTTGCCGTCACAAACTCACCCAAACACAACGCTGCACATGTCTGTACATGTCTATTGTAAATTGTAACCCCTAATCTGTGTGCGGTACTCAAACAAAACAACAGATGATAGAATACAAGCCCACGCACGGGTTTACAGCACTGACGCATGTGCTTCAGGCACTGGGAAAGGAATCCGAATATTGAACTTCAATCTCGAGGATTGAACTTGAGTACTCCCGGATCCACTTCAACTTCACTTTGGTTCTTAAGGTGCCGAGGGCCGATGCGGTGAACATGGGCATGAGTGGTGAATACTGCTATGACGGTTAATATGGGTATTAGTAAGCGCTCATGTTAGGTCGGCTGGCAGTACTTCTGGGTTGGAAAAGTTGTGTTGATGCCGATTTGATTTGCATGAACAGCATCAACTTTCACACTGAGAACGGGCCATGGCCCTGACAGTGGTACAGTGGTCACACTGGCGACTCTGATGTTACCCTCGATACCCCCCCCCCTTCATAAAAAAAACTGCCCGAAACGTAAACCCTGAGACTGAACTGCAGGTATATCATACATGGTCATCCTAGCCCCAAAGCATTAACCGGAAGCCTGATTCTAACCTGACAACTTAATTAGCTTACCTGCAGCCCTCAACTCCAAACCTTATTGGTTAGCAGAATAGCGATCCTGCGGCTAGCCTGGCGCAAGCCTTAGGGGTAGCTTCGTTCCATTATGTTGACTATATTGCGCATGGCCTAGATGAAGACGATCCTCACAGCAGCCAGAGCCGATAAGCACGGGTTCGCATCAAAAACTGAACATGACCGAGTGTGGGAACATGCTCCCCCACCTGCGCTGGTAAGCCACGAAAAAGGTACATAACTGAGGCGGGGTAACATCATATATATATATACATCATATATAATGCAGGACTTGTTTGCATTGATATGCATGTCTTTATCTGTGTCGTTGCTTGCTTGCTTTTCCACTTGTTGAAGCAACTCCAGGCATACTTCTCGACTTCTTTCCTACTCTCTCCTCTACAAGCGCACAGTTCCCGGGCCCGCTGAGCTCCGCGCGAATGTTGGCGTTGTCGATGACCTCGCTCCGGGGCACCTGGGGGCAGGGCCGAGGCTCATGAGCCGAATACCCGTGCCTTCATGAATAGAACGAGGTGTTGGGGTATAGTCTACTAGGGCTAGACTAAGATCTTTGGGACCTGAATAAATACAAGGATAGTTTAAAGTATGGTTATAGCAAGATATTAAGCCATCATGGCTTTCGGAGCTTCCCGTGATGTTGAGCACACAGCTGACAACGTTTGTGCAAAGAGTGTTGCTCATCTGGTGGTCTGTGGCCGCAGACAGAACTTCATCGGTAAGCTATGACACAGCCATGAAGCAGCGAAGAAGGAATGGCATGTTATGCTTCGTATCTTGACGCGAACTGCGATTTGGGATATGCGAGACACAGGCAACTGTAGAGACCCTTCTCTTCACCGTTGCTCCTTCAGGCAGCTCTACACAGACGCACAGCGCGCCAACAACTGGGACATGAACTGCGGGAAGATCGAGCTCCCAAGGGCCTACATGGGAGATTTCGAAAGCTAGGGTACCTTATTTTGGGGTCCTTATAATAAGGATCCTACTATTTAGGGTACTATATTAGGGTCCCCTATTTTCGGAAACCCCCAGATGGAAAGCGGTGAGGAGGAAGGATGTTAAGCTGTGGCTTCTAGGTAGGGTCAAGCTGTTCACCTGCAACACATTTCTCTGGCGAAAGAAATAAAGCTGACAAACCTATACACCCTAAACCCGTAAACCCCTCAACCCCTAAACCGTAAAACTTCCTAAACCCCAAACCCCTAAACCCTAAACTTTCCTAAACCCTCTCTGGCTCTCGGTGATGGTCAGCTGCCAGTCCCGCCTGAGCAGCAACCGTGGAGTCCACGATGATGGTCCGCACCTGAGCCATAGCCAGGGTTCAGGGTTTAGGGTTTAGGGCTTAGGGCTTAGGATTTAGGGTTTAGGGTTTAGGATTTAGGATTAGGTTTTAGACCTCTTTTCTGCCTGCCAATCCAGAAAGGAACGCCTGAAAGCCTGAGGTAGTAGCCTTAGCCAGGTTTAGGATTTAGGGTTCAGTTTCTTGTTCAGCTTCGACTGACGGATCGTCTTGGATTTTGGGATTGCGGGCTTGGGCGCAAAAAATTTTGAGTTCTAGGATTTTGGGCTTGCGGATTGAGGGGCTTGATTCCCGTTAAACCCTGAACCGCTGAACCGTCGCTGACTGCTTGCATAAACCCCTGAACCCCTAAACATCCCTAAACCCTTGAGTCCCGAAACCCTGTCCGTAAACCCTAAGCCTAAACCCTAAACCCTGAACCCTAAACCCTAAACCCAAAACCCTAGCGCCTACACTCCTAAACCCCTAAACCCTAAAACCCCTAAACCCCGAAACTCCTAAACCCAGAATCTACGCCTGTAAGTAGCCCCTGCCAGGCTACAAGATCGCCAACATCGGCCGTCTCACCTCCCGTGAGGATGATGCCGACCTGGAAAATCAAGGGGTCAACGTGGAACCCTAAACCCTAGGGTCTAGTTTAGGGTTTAGGGTTTAGGGTTCAGGGGAGGATGATCCCGACCTGGAAAATCAAGGGCTCAACGTGGCGAGGGGCTGGGGTTCAGGATTTTGGGGGGCATTTAGGGTTTAGGGGTTTGGGGGTTTTAGGCTTTAGGGGTTTAGGGGTTAGGGGAGGGGTTTAGGGGTTTAGGGTTTAGGGCTGAGGAGTTGGGGATTCTACCCCAGGGCTACGGGGGATTGAGGATCGCACGTCGGGGTTTTCGGCTTTCAGGCCCAACCCTTTGGGTAAAACATGTCTTTACGTGGTAGTTCTCTAAATTGGGGTCCCTTTTTGGGGTCCTAGTGCCGCACTTTTTTTGGGGGACCTAAAAAGGGGACCCTCATTTAGAGAACTACCCTTATGATTCGATGAAGCAGATGCTCAGAGTATCGAGCAGACTAGAGTAGGCCAATGCTGCCTGACCAGGACACCGCGGAGAATGGAAGAGGTCACATGTCATGATCTGCAGGCACGTCAGTATAGACATCGTGGCAGAACTATGTTAAGGACGCCTGGGCTTCATGGCAAGACCTTGAGCGGGCGGTCTTAACTTGCACACAGCCCATCATGATGAAATGGCATGCTGATGACGAAACGTGGCTCAATCATATGGCAATACTGTGACAAGAAGATGGAATCATAAATCCTGCTGGCAGGGCTGTCGAACAATGATGTACACATCTTGGAAGCATTGAGTTCAATACCAATACTCGACTATCATGGCTTACCCCTTCGCCCTAAACCAGTACAGAAGAGCATGGCACCAGAGTGGTCTCGCCAGGCAAGACTAAAGCTAAGCTATGTCCAGATCATCCCCCGAACCCAAAGTCTCGACGAGGAACCAGATCCAAGAGTGCTGCCGGTACAGTTTTGCCTCTCATCTTCCAACCCCTTTATCTGGTTACCTGCTGGGGGCTATATTAAACATGATCACTTTTAATCCTTATTTGGGTTTTTTATTAGAACAAATATGCAAAAAGTTGTAGCCGACAAGGATCCCGTGATGCTTCTGCTGCTGAGCCCGACTGTCCAACACCTCTGAGATCCCCGGCCCCATGTCTGTTCAGTTCGTCCACAAGGGCAGCTGTGCCGCCGATGACTGCGGCAACCACCTGTGCTCTTCCGAGCCAAGCTCCGCCAAGCCTATGAAATCTCGGGATGTAGACTTGAGAGGTTCATACGGTTGATGATATAATTCTTGCATTACCCAGAATAAGGAATATACCATAATTCCCATAGGTTAGGGTCCTTAAGGTAATGCAGGATTTATATCATCAACCGTACCTCGCAGATCCCATTGCCTTCAACCGAGCCATTGCCTTAGGCCACCACGCCGACACCAAGTGCTTTCCTACATCTTCAGTCTCAGACCATTGAAACCTCCTCGTCAACAGGACCAAATTTCTGAACCCCCAATTAGGCTTGGGCTTAGGTTAGTGCCAATGCCAGCTAGCGAAATACGACACAGCCGTCGTCAGAATCGTGGTCGTCACAACCCTCGGTGCAAACAGTTCGCTGGGAGCAACGAGGGCGGTAGCACGATGCATGTCAGGTGCTTCTGGACAGAAAATAGTTCGCTCTTCTAACTTCGAAGCCCAGGGCTCTAGGCAGTAACTCGGTAGAGAAATGACCCCTCTGAAGCCAACAACATCCCTCAACCCGAAACCTCCCCCAAAACCCTGAAAACACGAGGCCTGAACCCCAAACTCTTCCCTAAACCTCTTCGCTGGCCTCCCGCGGGATGAGGTTCTTGTTCCGTCCGATGGTACCTCGAAGAACCGGAGAGGGAAAACAAGGCTCAGGGTTTGGAAGGCGGAAGGTTTGGGGGACAGGTGGGGATGTGGGCTTTAGGTTGTAGCTTCGGGTTTACGTTCCAGCCTCAACAAGCAGTACCAAATGGAAGGATTCAGAACAGCTTGTGATGGGAACCATGAAGGCTCCAATCAAGGCGCATGCCTTTGGAACGGTCCCAAGACCCTTGTAATCACAACAAGCACGACTCCCCGTCTTGCAACGGGAGCAACCGACAGCCATGATGACCATGAACAAAAACACGTCGTCGATCAGAGACACCACCGAAAGTAGTGGGAGTGTGGTGTGCAGACACTCGTTCGTCTTTATCACCTACTGGTACAAAGCGATGATCTCCTCGCCTCTTCAATCGGTGAAACCTTGGTAAACTTGATGATGTCTTGGACATCTTCTGAGCCGGTCTAGAGTTTTAGCTTTTGCTGGCTCCGCTCAGTCTTCCCAGCTTTTGTGGTGCCGCTTGTTGGCAGCGGGTGGGCATTCAAAAGCACCGCTGCGCCCATACTCTCCCCCGATGTGGTGACCTCCACATCCGCCAATGTGGTGACGTCCACATCCGCCACCTGGCATTTGTCGCTGGCACGACCAAACGTGACCTCTTCCGGATTGCGTGGATTGTGAGGCACCTGGTAGCCGATCAGCGTACGCGCCTCGTAAACGTTTGCAACGTCGCTGTGAGGATACTTTCTCACGAAAATCGCCGTGAATGTCGCAGTCAGAAGTGCCAAGTAGCCTCCAAGGTTTCCCAGCAAAGAAAAGAGCTGTGGTAACGCACCCAGCTTCCTTGATACTGTGACCAGAGGAGTTTCTATGACCACCCGCCAGTAAATTCCCAATCCTTCTGTAGATTCAAACTCCGACCAATGCTGACACTTTGCATGTCGGTCTTGGCAACAGGTCTCCTCTGCACGATGGACCTGGAAATAATCCTCTTCTTCAGTGGCATATCCGAAATTCCAGCCATGCTTGTGCTTATCTAAGGTCAGCACTAATCTGCTGCCATCCTCACTGAATCCCAGATAGCTCCACTCGCCCAACATGTTCAGGTAAAGGCTCATCTTCCGAGCCTGCCCGCAAAGATGGAAGGGCACTGGCGGTGGCAGAGGCATCTGCCACTCGGACAAATCGACAACTGAGCAACTCTGATTCCGCCCGTTGATCTCAATCGTTTCTCTTGATAGCATTGAACCTCGATTGTCTGTGGAGTCCGCAATCTCCTCGTTGTGCATCAACTGCTTCGTAGTTGGCAGTGCCACACCTGCTTTGTGAAGTGTACTGTCAGTGCAGAGCGCCCATTTCCCAGCTCCGTGCCAGTCTTCCATTACCGTTTCTCTAGGAGGGGACCGGGAGGCGCTGACAATCTCGCAAATCTCATATCCAGCATAGGCAAGTAAGAGGCCTAACAATACTAAGTGCACCACCAAGGCAAGGCGCCGAAAAGGAGGCTGCACATGCCGATAGTCCATTCTACATGGACTCTATAGGACCACTCTAGGAGCATTCAAAAAGTTCCAAGGCTGAGCACGCAACTGCTGCGGTAGCATCTAGGCATCGCTGATGCGTGCTTACCTTCCTGCTGTCAGTCTAGCACTGTCACACTTTCCATCTCCCTCAAACAACTATCAAGATTTCGGTGCTCAGGACAAAGGACGCCCGAATACTGCTCGGGCAACTGCTTCGAAGGAGACTGACCAATAATACATATTATCATCTAGCGTCGTGCATGCTGCATCCAATATCCGTCAACATATATGTACATACATATCTATCCATCTATCTATCTATCTATCTATCTATGTATCTATGTATCTATATATCTATCTATCTATCTATCTATCTATCCATCGATCTATCTATTATATATCTATGGCAGCACGCAACAGCACAGCATCGCTCATTGAAAAAGCACTCGTGCACACAAGCGTGGTGCGTGGGCGCTCGCAGATAGACAGGTAGATAGACAGATAGACGGATAGCCAGCTGGGTAGATAGGTAAACAGGCTCTGTGACGTAATGCTGCGTGATTTCATTCAAGTACCTGCAAATGCGTAGATTCGTTGTCGGTACTCTGGACAACGGCTCGGCTCGACACCCTCGCCACGTCACTCGCGTTGAACTTGCAAACCCTCTAAGCTACAGAGCTTGCAGTATCCCAGGCTGCATGCTAAAAGCCCATGTCGGCACTAGACAGGAGGATGTTGTCGGTGATGCCGACGCACAACCTCAGCAGTCAGCTTAGGTTGTTTCTATACTGTCTGTTGTCATACTATCGTGTGAGATGTGTCAGAATGAAAATAGACCGTGGCATAGAGCAGTCAACAATACGGTAGAACACTTAAGGCACAATTCGACGGGTCGCTACTTGCGCATATGTGTACCTACATCCGACTACATGCACCTATGTAGATGAATAGAAAAAAGCAAGTGAAATCTAAGAGCTTCAGATGTGAAGTTTGGAATTCCAATGGTTCAGGATGACGGGCAACAGGAGAGCTCGTGTCTCTGACATTCAGCCGAATGACTGCAAGAACCCGAAGGCGGAACCTTGCGAAGCCTGAAGCCTTAACCCGAACTTGTTGCGGGCCAAAGGGCAGGTCGTCGAGGTTCATGACCAAGGCATCCTGCGCGATTCCCTTCCAAACCTGAGCTTTGGATTCCCGAATAGAGCAAGCCTTCGGCCTGGCTGCAAAGCCACGCATGAAGTGGCTGCAAGACTTCAGGAAAACAAGAAGGTCAAGAGCGGCTTTGCAGCCGGAACGTCAAGTTTGCTGAGAGGAGAAGGGGCTCCCAAAGCCACGACGCGCTCAAATCACCGGAAGAATCGATAGATGGAGGAGGCAAGTCCAGAAGACAGTCCTGGGTTTTTCAACCTTCGTCCTCACTGTCATGGACTGCGGGAGATCCATGCAAGCCTAAGCATCCAGCGGAGATGTCCCCCGTCTTCTTCCAGTAGATGTACGCCAGGGAGGACTTGGTGCCTGCGCCGTCGGCGTGCATCACCTGGCTTGAGCAGTGCTGCCGAGAAGCGAACCTATGCTGGTACTCGAGATGCCGCTGCTAAAGATGATGATGAGGAAGAGGCGGTGAACATGTCCATTAGACTGTTAGAGTGCTCATAACGGTCGTAGTTACCATGATGATGCCGACATTGATGAAGATGGCGAGCAGGAAGTCATGCTGGCGAGTGATGCTGGTGGGAGCAGGAGGAGGAGGAGGAGGGAGGAACAGGAGGAGGAGGAGGAGGAGGAGTATGAGGGAGGAACAGGAGGAGCAGGAAGGAGGAGGAGGAGGATGGCACTGACGATGATGAAGCTGAGATGACGATGATGGCAATGATGGTGGTGATGTCGGCGACGGATATGATGCAGGTAATCCTACGCATGATGCAGACAATGATGACGACGAAAACGATGACGATGATGATGGCGCCGCTGTTGTTGATGATGACGATGACGGCTGCAACGAGAACGACTATTTTGATGCAGCGTATCACCATCAGCATCACCACTATCGCCTCCTTGCTGCATCGTCTATTCTGATGGCTTTATTCTAAGATTCTAAACCCCTAAACCCCAAACTTGCAAGCTCCCCCGGCAAGTGAGCCCTAGGCCCTTGAAATGCCAAGCTCCGGGAAGCCGCGGGTACGGGGACGAAGCCGGGATCCGGGCGATCGCTTGGGTCGGATCCCTGGAGATGAAGTCCGGAACCACCTTTAAAGGGTGTGGGTTTAGGGGTTTTGGGGGATTAGGGGTTTAGGGGTTTAGGGTTTAGGGCTTAGGGATTTCCGGTTCAAAACCGGCAGAACCTGCCTTTTTTTTGGTAAGAAGGGGAGTCCGGGTTGTGGTGAAGGGTTCGAGTTGGGGGGGTGTTTGAGGGGATTTAGGGCTTCCGGTTTAGGCTCAAGGTTTTAGGGCTTCGGGCTTCGGGTTTAGGGGGCTATAGGCTCTACTCTAGGCTCTTAGCGAGTCAGGGCTGGCCTGCAGCCGGAAAGACCTACCTTTTTAGGGCTCCTTATTATGAGTTCTATATACATATAGTTCCTCAAAAAAGGTAGGTCTTTTCGGTTGCCGGTGGTGCTTGGGATTCAAGGTTCAGGGGCTTGGGGGTCTAGGTTGGACCCACAGGACTTGACAATCCCTCCCAGCTTAGCTTTAGGAGATATGCGAGCATAGAAGACTGGCAATCGCAAAACCCGACGACATATCTTCGACGGTATAACGGTATGAACTCAAAAAGGAAACATAGATAGTCGCCATGAAAAAGGGCGATGCAAACGCTGCAATCGGGCCATATCTGCAAGCAGAGACATGCTACCACGAACTGCTACGACGATCTCATGCAACCGCAAAACGTTCATCCCCCTAAAAACCTCATTGATGCTCAACATATACATGCGCTGCCACCTCAACACTAACGCCATGTCACCTTCGGCAGGGCTACAGAGCAGGGCCCTATAGGGGAAGAGTGCCGCCTTGCAGAAAGCGCGAGGGAAGAGTCCCTTGTCCATATTCTTGATTGCCTCAGTGCTGCAGGGTCATCGGGTTCAGGGGTTTAGGGTTGAGGGGTTTAGGGTTTAGGGCTTAACATTAGGGTTGAGGGGTTTAGGATTTAGGGCAACTCAAACTAAGAAGCATGGAAGATCCCTAAGGAAGGCGTCTCTGTCTGAAGGATTACTCGGCAGACTTCTTAGGTGACAAGGCAGCCGCAGCAACAGCAACGTCCGCGCCACAGCGGAGTTTCCGAAACAGCTCTTCATGCTTTAGGGTTTAGGGTTGAAGGTTTTGTTTTAATGCAACGGCCCTTTTCCGTCGGGTTTAGGGTTTAGGGGTTTAGGGTTTAGGGGTTTAGGGTTCAGGGGCTTAGGGTTTAGGAATTAGGGTTTAGGGTTCAGGGGTTTAGGGTTCAGGGGTTTAGGGTTTAGGGTTCAGGGGTT